ATTTCCAGGAGGCAGCAGAAACACAAGTTCAGGAAATGTGGCCACTTGTGTTACCAAGGGCCCAAGGTGCCCTTGGAGGCTGTTGGGTTTTATTCCCTTGAAGCATAGTGGTGTCACGCAGCAGTCTATGCAGTTAGTGTTCGAGTACAGCATGTGACAGTATCTGTGGTTTGCCCACATTGGGTCCAAGTTGTAAGATTAAGAATGGGACAGACTTCTTTGTTTTCCAGGGAAGGAGTTGGATTCATTTAATGATGCTAACAATTATAAAACAAAAGGGAACACTCATAACAAATATTTGACATCCATGTAGCTATAAGGCATAATTCACTTCCACCCATATCCTGTACCATGCCTATGTTCATTATGGTATTATAAAATCCAATAAAAGTGTTTTCTTTCTGGCCAGCTAAACAGCCTGATAAGGTAGAGGAACTGATTTCTTGCTAAATTCATTATCCATGGTAAAGGTCAGAATGTGAGTAATTCCCATCTGCTGAGCAGTTGCAACTCAGGCCACAAAGTACAAAGTACACCTAAGCATTTTCCTATTAACTCTGCATCTTCTATTAGTCATTAAGGCCAAGATGCGGCCTCAAACAAAAGGCACACTGGAATCTCCTCTGTATCCTCCCCAACCACAAATGCCACTGCCACCACCTCTGTTATCCAAGAGTCTTGTCCTGGTTAGCTTTCTTCAGGAGACTATGATGGAGAATTCTGAGTTTCCATCAGAAACTACCAGGACCTTCTTCATGCACTGCCAGTGTTCAGATGTCACCTTCACAGTGTATATTCAATGTTTCCTTTCCAGACGAGGAAGTATTTTACTAGGACTTTCCATCTCCTATTTCCATATTTTTCCATACTGTAAATACCTGTAGATTTTGAGACCCTTCCACATATATGTGACATGCAATCTTCTTTCTGTCAGACACTAGTCTCTGCACCTCTACCCAAGAATATTTCAATGATCTCACCCCCTGGTGCTGAAATCCATCTTTGGTTCTTTACCTACTGGGTCTTAAGAGCACCTGGTCCATAACCTGCCCATAACCTACAGAGTGAACTCAAAATTTCTCAAGCTAGTTCATGGTGCTCCTTACTCCCCTTTCCCCATTTTACATATTATAGTCCTAGAATCACAAGTCTCTTGATTTTTTTTTTCTCACAGAGCACAGAAATAGCAGCATTACCTTGGTAATGTGGTTTTTCTTCCCTGGTAAGCAGTTCACGCTTTCTTTGTTTAGTTATTAAATGCTAAGGTTTGCCATAGGTAGCATCTGTTTCTTAAAGCTCTTACCCTCCTTTCATGTATCGGTGAGGACTCATGCACACTCTGGTGTGCATGAATAAATGACCTTCCAAGCAGGCCTTTTGTAAGCAGAAATAATTTGAATTAGTCAGCAGACCCAGATGGCCAGTTGGACAATATTCCTTTAGCATCTTGTGCCTCTAATTGTCAAGCTGTCAAGTCAGGATGTTATAGGTTACCATTTTATTACCACTACTATATTAGATTGATTTTTTTCTCATTGGGTACATAAATTAATTATCTTCAAAAGATCCTGAAAGACACTTGCAGAATGCATTCACCAATGCTGTAGTTATTCACACAACTTCTAGATTTTCTGATTCTTCACTTTCTCTTACACCATTAACATTAATTTTATTTCTCTGCTTCAGTTTACTGGGCTGTACTCTTTCGTATATCAAACTCCATCAAGGTGACATAATACTCAGTCGAAAAGATCCTGTTCCTGAGAACAGAATGGAAGAGTAAAGGGGTTTCCACTTACCCTGGATGATGGAGTACAGATTGGTAGCCTTTCTCTGTTATGTGCCAGTTTTTAATATTTTAGTCTTTCTGTACCATATAGCTCTACAGTTATAGCAGGAAGACAGCCACAGATAGCAAGTAAACAACTTAATATTAGTAGATTTCAATAAAACTTTATTTACAAAAACAGGTATTCCAGGACCATAATTTACCTAACTCCCTGGATCACTTGATAACTTGTTTACAGTGAAAAAAAATTTTTTTGTTGTTCGAGTACAGAAACATTTTCCAACTAAGAGTTGTTCTGGACTAAATATGTTGAAAGTTACTTGTGCTCTATTGTGTAGTGTGATTTTATCAGAAGCTGAGGGAATAAGATTATATAAAGCTTCATTTGCTTTCAACAATTGTCACAGCCCAGCATATCAAGAGTTGTATCTCAAGTGAAACTGAAATTTCCATGTGGAGTGTTTGGCACTAAATAACAAGAGCTATACAAACGAGACCTTTTGGCATGTTGCCAGAAGTATAATTTTGATAAAGGTTTCCCACAAATAATGACGGCAAGGGAATAAGATCAGTATGCTGAATACTTTGTAGAATGTAACTATGCATTAATAATTAACCCATGTAGGAAATGGACCAGTAAAATGGAAAACTTCTATAGAATATTTTGTATGTCATTTGTATAGTAATTGGTCATTGGAAATGTACATGTTAAAAATTGCAGGTAAATGATTTAAAACATGGAAAAAAATCAAGCTAAGTGCGCCAGTGGCTCATGCTTATAATCCTAGCTACTCCAGAGGCTGGGATCTGAAGGTCACAACTCAAAACAAGACCTGGCAGAAAACTTCCTGAGACTCTTACTTCCAACAATACCAGCAAACCAGAAGTAATGCTGTGGCTTAAAGTGGTAGAGTGCTAGCCCTGAGCAAAAGTTGCTTAGAGATAGCACCCAGGCCCAGAATTCAAGGCCCAGGACTGGTACAAAAAAAAAAAAAAAAGAGGAAACAAATCACGATATATCATCTTTGCCTTTCAATATTCAGTCTTGTTTACAAGAGCATTCTATGAGCTAGTTTATGCTCTTTGCACTGAGAACCTGACTTCCTGCTCTATCCTCAGAGAGCCAATATTCTTGTGAAAAGGACACAGATAGTCGAGGGTCCGGGAAACTTTGCTATGGAAATACTTGGAACTTTCATGTCATTTATATAATGCTTATATAAAATAGTTCCAGTGGCTCACGCCTATAATCCTAACTTCTCAAGTGGTTGAGATCTGAGGATTTCAGTTCAAAGCCAGCAAGGGCAGGAAAGTCTGTAAGACCCTTATCTCTGATTAATCATCAAAAAGCTGTAAATGGAACTGTAGCTCAAAGTGATAGAGAAAAAAGCTTAGGGACAGAGCCCAGGCCCTGATTTCAAGAACCTATACCAACATACATACATACATACACACACACACACACACACACACACACACACTAATTCTTTTCCATTTTTTTTCTTTTGGTTTGTGTGGTTTGAGGGAAGAGTTTATTGGGATAATTTCATTTAGAAAATTGTTGGTCCTTATTATGTGTCAAAAACTCTACCAGACACAACCTACCAACACTCTCCCCTTAAATGAGATGGCATGAGATTTAGATTAGGAAATCATATCGAAGGTTAGACGATGTTGTAGGGGTAGGGCAAGAAAACAGGATCTGAAATATTGGGAGCATGCACTTTTAGATTCAGTGCTCAAGAAAAATTTCTTGAAACTAGGCCCACCTGGTAGCACACCCCCATAGTACCAACACACACTTTGGAGGCTGAGGCTAGAGGATTATTTGAGACCAACCTGCACTACATAGCAAGTTTCAGGCCACCTTGAGTGACATAAGAAGGCTCTAAACAAGTCAACAAAACAAACCGCGACAGCCATAATAAAAACTAAAGAAAGTCTCTGAGAAGGTGGTTTCAGTGAAATAAATGCACTGAGTCACCTAGCAGGTGATGTTGAGGGAGTGGTCAGGAAGTTCAAGGGTGAGTGTGTTCTAGGAATGTTCAAGGCATGTCATGGAGGCCAAAGGCTGAAGGTACTAAGGGAAGGACAGACATAGAGAAGGAGATGAAAGATGTGATAGAAGACCAGACCAGCCTTTGAAGTCATTGTAAGAACGTTGGATTTTATTCCAAATAATGGGAAGACATTCAAAAGTTTTGACAAACAGGAAAGTGATTTTTAAGGTTTACATTAAAAGAGTTTCTATGCTGGGCATTGGTGGCTCATGCCTGTAATCCTATCTACTCAGGAGGCTGAGATCTGAGGATCGCAGTTCAAAGCCAGCTGGGCAGGAAAGTCTGTGAGACTCTTATCTCCAATTAACCACCAGAAAACCAGAAATGGTGCTGTGGTTCAAGTGGTAGAGCATTCGCCTTAAGCTGAAGAGCTCAGGGACAGTGCCCAAGCCCAGACCTCAAGCCCCACAACTGACCAAAGAAAACAAGTTTCTAGTGTAAAGAATATACCACATATTCTTAGGACGTCTTTGTAATAATCCAGATGGGTAAAAATAACATCTTCACATGTCTGGACACAGAAGAAAAGATAGAGGTGTGGCAGGAACCAGTGCTCCTCTGCCAGAACCCACAAAGGGAAACATAGTTCAGGAGCAGCGCCATTCCCTACCGCCATTCCCTAACTGCTGGAACCCCAGTAGGAAGCACTGTTAATACAAAATAGGTGCTCCTGTCCTTTCCAAGGCTGGCACTATACCACTTGAGCCACAGCTTAACTTCTGGCTTTTTGCTGGTTAATTGGACCTATGAATCTTGGGGATTTTTCTGCTGGGGCTAGAATCACAAATCTTCGAATTACCATCTTCAGATGTCAGCCTCCCTATGTAGCTATGATTACAGGTCTGAGCCACCAGTGCCTGGAGACAAAGGCTTCATTTAGATTGGTGAAATGTGCTAAAACAAGAAAACCCAGGAACCCAAATTTGCTTAATGGCTGCCTCTTAAGACTACACTCTTACCCTGAGTTATCTTACCTTCTCTGGTTATAATTGGCGTCTTCAATATTTGTCAATGTCCTAAAAATACTTCAATTTTTAACACCCTATCATACTTTTATGAAATGAAAGCATTTTTGCCTTTTACTGTTAAAATGGCTCAGAGTGATTATAACTGGATGTGATTCTTTGCTTCTTGTTTTGGTTTTGTTTTAGGGAACAACTCAATACTTTATTGAAGACCTACAACATTTTCTATGAGAACCAGAAAAATCTGCATATTTTATATGGACAGGTAAGCTCCTGCAACAGTTTGATTCTTAGGAAAAAATTCTATAAAAATAGGAAAGAGTGAGGGCGAGTTAAAGTGTACAATTTAGTAACACATGCTTAATCTTTAACTTAATTCTGTTTTTTTTTTAATCATTAGGCAATATCAGTCCTAGAATCTTCTGTGACTTCCTAAGCACTTTTGGGATAGAAAAGCATTTTTAAATAACTTTAATGTTTCTTTCTATTTTAAAGATACAACTTTTATCTATTAATGAAAAAAATGTCTTGAACAGTAATTTCACCAGAAATCTATCATAGTACTTTCTCACGAATACTCCCTAATGTGTATAAGAACATTTTTTTGTAATGGAGAAAATGTGAACTTGATGTTAAATCTCTACCAATGAAGGATTAGTCAAACAAATTTTGTCACACCAAATTTCATTTGCTTGAAAATGAAACAAGTTAGATTCCAGTAATTGTTTTCTGTATCACAATGATAGCACATTTCAAAATGTTAAAGAACTAGTTCAGGAAAGTCCTGAAGTTGGAAAAATATTTTTAAGGGTGCAGTTGGCAATCTCCTGTCAAATTAAACTTAGATTTCCTTTCCTGATCTTGTCCTTTTCTCTGATTTTAATTGAACGTTTTTTTGCAACCTGCCCCTCCACGTAGTCTCATATTCTAATGGGCCTCACTTTACATATTTACAATAACTTTCTGGCCCCAGGAAACTTTAGGCTTTTGTCCTCTTGATTTAAATCTTCAAGTTTGAAGGCACATATGGCATTTGACCACCATGATTTAGCTTAAATCTACAATTTGGAAAGAAAAGTTACATAGCATTTTAGCCTTTACTCCAAAGCTTACTTTAGAGGTTTAGTTGAATGACTTCAGAAACTTCATAACATGCTATAGGAGCTAATTAATCTCTAGATAAAGAAATGTGCCTAATTTTAAAAACACTTAAAGCTTATCAGCCAAAGACATAATGAACAATAATGTTTCCTGAACACTTATTGGATGTCAGGTCATATGAACTAAGAATTATTGCAATGTAAGCTTATAAGAAGAGGAAGCCCAGGCTGAAAGGTGGTCAGCAACCTTCCCAAGACCACTCAGCTAGGAAGTGGAACAGCCAGATATTCAACACAAAGCAGTCTTATTCTAGAGTTTGCAGTTTTCATGTGTATTTTCAAAGAAGCAAAGGGTCAGTGTTGTCAAAGTCAGATTAATAATGGGTTTTGTGTCATTGGATGATGGTTTGTGGCTTTGCTTTGTTTTATACATATATATGTATATATATGTATGAAATCATATATAGTTATATTTAACAAAATAGTTATAGATAACAAAAGTACACTAATTTAACAATAAGTTATTTACATATATAAAAGAAAACAAGCCGGGTGCCGGTGGATCACACCTGTAATCCTAGCTACTCAGGAGGCTGAGATCTGAGGATCACAGTTCAAAGCCAGCCCAGGCAAGAAAGTCTGTGAAACTCTTATGTCCAATAAACCACCAGAAAACCGGAAGTGGTGTTGTAGCTCAGGTTGTAGAGCACTAGCCTTAAGCTGAAGAGCTGAGGGACAGTGCCCAAGCCCAGAGTTCAAGCCCCACGACTGACAAAAAAAGAAAAAAGAAAAGAAAAGAAAACCTAGATTGGAAAATAACTTCTATGGGAATATATTTATCAATATATATTTAGATACCATATTTCATTTCATTTTTTGTTGTATGATACAGTAGTTTCCTTTTTGTTATACTATTTCTAACTTAAAATGAATTCTTCAAATGCTATTGATTTTCACAAGTATCATTTATATGTTGTGCACTTTATAGTATTTCCACATGCACTCTTTCCCTTCCTTAGCATAACTTTGTGAGTTTAGAGATGAGTGAGCAGATGCTAGAGATGAGTGACCAGAGGGCAAGCAATTCAAATGTCTAATTCAGTACAATGTTTAAATCTGCTTTAATTCTGAATTAAACAGAATCAAAACATTCAAATCCCACTTAATCCCCAACCATTTTAGAAAGTAGTTTAACATATTACACTCTCTGATGGATATGCTGTTGCTATTCTGACTTACTTTGCTGTATATAGCAATCATATTTTAAAATAGAACCGTAAAAAATTGAAAATCCACACAATCCTCTCTGAAAATGTTGTGAACCCCGTTAAGATTTCTTGTGTCCTAACTTGCTCATCTTCAGTGAAAGCATTTGCCTTCTATAAATAATACAAAACAATTGTGGGAATTATTGGTTTCTTCCTTAGACTGAAGACGGGGATGTCATTGTTGAAGGAATGCTAGACATTTCTTGGGGCATCAAACGGCCCATACAGCTGAAAATACAGGATGACAAGCAAATCTCTTGTTTTACCATGTCAAAGCCACCAGATGCCTTTTCCAGCAATGGGTAAGCTATCCTTCATGATTTTAAGTTCACACGTGGTCTGTCTATCACTTTTGAGAGCTTAGGCCTCCACATAAAGCTCAGCCTCCTATGATGCTACAGTAACTCCATGAATTCAGAGTTTAGAAACCAGGGCTCTGTGAGGTAAGTTTAGGTCTGGATGTAGGATCCTTAGCTACCATGAGCGAAAACCAAACTGGACCTTCATACCATGGGCTCTGGAGTCTGTGCTTTTCAGACCTTCTGCTGTTTAGCTTTCTCCTTGAAACGTACTTTACTTCTTTAAAAAGGCAAAATGTAAAGGCGGAAGATTTGGTTAGCCCTGACCTGATTTTCAAAATGCTGGGGATAAAATTTTAACTTTTACTCTCCTTGGAACAAAGGACTCTCTCTGCTTTCTTTATGTATTTAGTCAGTACTAGGGCTTGAACTCAGGGCCAGGGTGCTCTCAGATTTTTTTGCTTAAGGTTCTACCACTTGATCATCTAAGGAGTAGCACTTAAAGGAGTGATTAAACTCAACTTAAAAAAAATACAACTGCCTAAGAATTCACAAAATTAGCTCTCATACTTCATATTACCTAAGAATTCAGGGCCAATTTCCTTTGAGAAGCCAGCTCCTTCTATTTTAGCTTTTGATTCATGGAACCTTAGTGAAGTATGGAGTCTTTCGGATATCAAGGAGATGTCAAACCATCATTATTTATCTTTTTCTGGTACTGGGACTTGATTCTTGGGACCTCTTCCTTTCATTCACTTTTTTTTCCTTTCTTTCTTTTTGCCCATGGCTGGTGCTCTGACACTTAAGACACACTTCCAGTTGATTTGTCTGCCCAAGCTGTAAGGCTGCCTTTGAACTTTGATCCTCAGGTAGCCGCCTCCTGAATAACTAGGATTATAGGTATGAACCACCAGTGCCCAATTCTCATTACTTTAATGGCTACCCCAAGATCTATTTTGATTTCTTAAATTCAAAAAATTGCCTCCAGCAATCCTGAAAATTTGTATGAGTTTCAAGACAAGATAATTTTGATGTCCCCTCATGTAGTGCAGCGGATTATAAAATAATAGCCTAATGGCACACATGGTATAGAAATGGTTTACATTTTTCATGTTTATCAAAACATTGCCAAGAAGTAAGCAATTGGAAATTAAGTAGAAAAATGACATCTGCTTCCTCCTTGTCACAGTGACAAAACTTACTAGGTTGCAAGAAGGACACTCTTGCAGTGTCTCAAGCTTTTATATGGGGAGTTAAGAATTCACAGGAAAATACCCCACTCTTCACACACTCCCACACAAGAGCAAGGTAGCATTTGGTTCTTGGTAAGAGCTAAGTGAGTATCAGGCAGGAAAGGGCACTATAATCTGGAATGGCTTTTCCTTGGCTTCTGGTTCTCTAATGGAGTACACTGCCAAACTTAGGTACTATTCTGTGTCACTCTCATTCTGCTCATCTCCCTTCAAGTGACTCAACGAAATTGTGTCAAGGGATTGACTACAGTCTAAAATCTTTCCTCAGTCTAAAATCTGTCGTATGTTTCTTTTCCTACATTGACAGCTGTGGACAGGAATTATCATCTCTGCTCTTGGGCAAGCACAGAATGTAATATCTCCAGTGGGTGAACATTCAGTGACAGATGGAGATGTTGCATACTTGTCATGCTAGTTTGTTTTAATTATGTGAGAAACTAGTCATATAGAGGAAGTAGCCGCTGAATGAGAATGATAGACACTTCAAAGTAAATCACTTCGTTTGAGTTTTGACCCCTTGTGATTTATAAAATTATTTTGCAGGTGGTAGGTACTTTGATCTCTATATTTGGCTAAGTGTTCTTGGAAATTTTTTATTAAAAAAATAATAGCTTCGTTGAGGTTATTTTTGCTTGCATTATTTCATGGTAATATCTACCAAAAATCAACATTTGCATATTTGGGGTAAGCCGAGGCAAAATGAGGTAAAGAGTTGAAACTGGACAGGTATGCATTTGAATAACATCAACCATGTTTTATTTGGCTTTGTTTTTCCTTATAGTTTGACTATGGAAATGACTGTATTCTATTTGTTTATCAAATGTCTATGTCCATTATATTTTACATCCCATTTAGAGATTAAATTTGCAAACGATCTACATCCTGAAGTTTGGTCAGAGCAACACACACAGTCCCGTGTTTGGGCAAATTAAACTTCACTGTACTAGATAGTACGGTTCCTCTCTTGAAAACTCTACATAACTGCCCTTAGACTTAGTCATTTGTATGGCTGTACAGAGTCACCCTCAACTACACAACCCAGAGTTATAATTTTCTTTAGCTGTAGATGGTAGGGAGATAAAAAGGCCAAATACTGAATTATTCAGCCATGGCTGAGCCTCAGGTTTGTGTGTTAGTACTAAACTGTAAGGTAGTGCGAGAGACAGCTGTCAAGCTTGTCACTCATCAAGATTTTATGCTGTCTATCAGTCATCTGGCATTTGTGGTAATTCTCATATTTCACCCATATGAAACATTATCAAGCCGTTTTGTCTGATTAGTTTCTGTTTTTCATTGGCCTTGTCTTTTTCTATTTCAAACCCTCTTTCTGCTAATTAAATCTGGCCTAATCTGATTACTAGTCTGCTATACATTGCAAGAAATACATCATTTTATACAAAATAAGAATTATTAGATTATTAGTTGGGATCTGAGGCATTCTGCTTTGATTTGTTATTAAATTATTTATGTTATTAAATCATTCTTTGTTTAAGTTACTACATATGTTATTGAACTATGAAATTTATTTGGCTTGCAATTCTGAATAGTAGAACTTGTTGGAAATTTTTTTAAGAAATATGTTAGATCATGTGATTTGCTTCCTTCAACTGTTGTCATTATCAAACAATAGACTAGCTATAGAAAACCTCAAAAGAATTCAAAGATTGAGAGAAAGATTGTTTACTTTCATCTTTACTTACCACTAATATTAATGCTTTTTTTCTACCAGTAATATCTGATAGGGTTAATATCAGAATTTCCCTAGAAGTAAATATTTTAGGACACAATACAATAGATTTTATGGAAGAGACACTGGGACTAAGACTATTCCCCAAAAATAATGGTGACCCTTTATCAAAGAGGTCCAAGAATGCCTTGGATCACCTGACTAATTATAAAACAAATACAGTTGAATATTGGCAATGATGATGATGATGATGAAGTTGTCAGTGACCATGATTATGATGATATTTTTGGATATATGTCAAGTACTATTTAGGGCACTGTTTCAAAAATTTATTCAAATACATTCATTTAATCCTTTCAATAATATTATTCTACCTCATATTACTGTGATTCTCCTGTTGTTGATGAGGGCAGAAAAGGTTAAGTAACTGTTTACAGACAGATTATATAAAATAAAAATGTTAGCCTGCTAAAACAATGTTTTATTCAACCTGGGAATTACAATGCTTTGAACATTAATTTATTAAAACATAAAGTCATAACTTTCTAGTAAAATGGTTTGTGCATTTTCTTCTTTTGTAAATTTTTGTCTCATAGTAGTCAAGACCTTAAAGATAGTTTTATATTTTATTACTTTAGAGCAACTTTACATAATAATACTTTACTACAGTAGATTTTCAGTATATATTGGTGGAATAAATGCTTTCTACACTCTCAGCAACTTCGTGAGATTTCTTAATAACAATGAATTATATTAATCTCTACCAATTCTATTTGCATATACTTTCACTGTGTCTGTATAACGTAGGTTGCAGAACATAACTGAATTATTTTACTAATATGCCAAATATGCTTCAATAAAAAGTATGGATGTATTTACAACACAGGGTGACCACTCTGGCAGGACTAATTTTGGTAATATCTCAAAATTTTATAAGTTTAGCTTTTTTATCTACCTATAGTGATCCACAACTTCTCAATTGCTATTGTGAATCTGAAAATGATCATAGGCCTCAGTGCAAATTGACCTCACTTGAAAGGTTCATTACTTTTTAGGAGAATGACACGCTGGGGAGAATTTGATGACCTATATCACATTAGTGAGCTGGACAAGACTCAGATTCCTGTGTCTGGAACGAAGAATTCCCTTGAAGGTCAGTATCAAACTCTTGTTAATATGGAGACTTATTTTTTTAATCAATGTGAAATATGACTACTAAATGTTTGCCTCCTATATGCAGTGATTCAAGAAACTCCTGTTGTATTTGCATACTTCCTAAAATCTTTCCAAGGAGCAGAGGAACTTAAGTCTTTACAGTGCTCGTGTAATCATTAACTATTTTACTTTGCTACTTAAAAGTATGTTGGTTTTAAGCTAGTCACTTTGCTTCATCCCATTAGATAGAGCTAATTATTTGAATAAAGTTTGGCTCATAAAATTGTCCAATATTTACCCCAGTGATCAGGAATCATGTAAGATTATCATTAGTTTCATTTGTTAAATCAAACCCTCAGACTTAATCCCACATCTTTATAGAAATTGATCATATTAGTTAATAATAACTTTTTAAAATGTAAACCTCATATGCAGAGCTCTGAGGCAAACTGCGATCTTGACATCTTGTTTTATATATAGATCTTTCCAATTATTCCTTGAGAATATCCATTTGATGCAAAGGAATTTAAATAGCTTAGCACCAAAGATAACATAAAACCCTATTTCTATGTAAATACCAGGGCAGAAAATAAAAATGAACTAGTTCCTGCCTGATGGTATTCTAATTACAGTAAGAAATCATTTTAAATTCCCAAGTGAAAACTCAGGTAGCCCCATTTATGTAAGAACAGGCTTAGTTGAGGAATTAGAGAAGATGCAAGTGGAAGTTCTGAATATTCTTCATTGTGGTAGGAATGCATGTAGCTACATCTTTTTCCATGTGGACATTCTGTGCACACAAAAGATGCCAGGACAGTCCAGCACTTTAGGATGATCGTGTAATCACACCTGACACTCTGAAAAGAACATAAAGTAGACCATCTCTAAGATACATTCCTGGTAGGCACTAGTCCAAAGCATATTACTACTTTTGCTTTTATAAAAGCTAGAAACAAGCCAGGTGCTATTGGCTCACACCTGTAATCCTGTTGACTCAGGGGACTGGGGATCATGATTCAGAGCCGGCCACGGCTAGAAAGTCCATGAGACTCTTATCTCCAAGTTACCACCAGAAAACTGGAAGTGGTGCCAAGGTTTAAAGTGATAGAGTGCTAGCCTTAAGTAAAAGAGTTCAGGGACAGCACTCAGACTCTGAGTTCAAGGCCCATGACCCCCCCAAAAGAAGTTAGAAACAAAAAATGTTAAGGCTCTATACCATGAAATGCCTTCTGAAGAGTCCTTTTATAGTTCTGTAAAGAAACAAAGGCCCAATGTTCACCTTAGGAAAGATCCAGTAAACCTGGAACCAAATGAAACAAGGATCCAGACCTGATTCTCTCACATAAGCACAACGTTAAAATCAGTTTATTACTCAGTACTTTCCCCATACCTGTATGAGATCACGTTGCTAAAATACCAAGTTACTTCCAGCTCCAACATTCTGAAACTTTATGTAACTTACTCCCCCTAGCAAATTAAAATCAAAAGAATGGTCCAATCCCTGATATGCAACCACTGTGGTCATGTCCTTTGAGACAAAATTCACTGGCAGAATTGACTGTCTGAGCAACCCCAGACAACATTTAGTAAGTAAATGTAGAGACACACCGTAGACTATAAGGTTTTAAAACCATCAGGACATAGCAATATTCATAAACTGTAGGACAACATACCAGTCTACTTAGAATGCAAGAAGAGAGGCAGCTGAATCACATGAGTTTATCATCTTTATTCTTCCTAGACTATTTATCTTGTCACAGCAGCACTTTGAAGCCATATACAGAAGAGGAACCGAGATCCCCTTTGCTATATAGAACCATGAGTGAAGCAGCCCTAGTGGGAAGAAGGGCCAGGCTTCCAATGATGGACAGAAAAGACAGACAGAACCAGAGAGCCTCCATTAACGGACACTTCTATAACCATGAAGTGAGTTACCATTCCATTCTGTGGCTTAGAGGAATGTCATCTGCTGTACTAATGATACCACTCAATTCAGCTTACAATTAAAAACAGTAATAACAACAACAACAACAACAATAATGTTACTAACAAGCCTGACATTTATCAGTGACTCCCGATACGCTCGGTAGTAAGCCATGTTTAAAATAGGTTTGTTAAATTTTTTTTCTTCTGAAAGGGATTCTTATTGTATAGTCCATACTAGCTTGAAACTTGCTATCCAGCCTAGGCTGGCTTTGAACCCATAGCCCTTCAACTCTCAGCCCCGCATGCCTTACTTTCAATGGGATTATTGGTTGCAGTACTACAGTTTGAACTCAGGATGTTATGCTTGCTGAGCAAGTACGCTATCACGGGAGCCATGACCTCAGCCCTCTCATTTACTTTTCAGACAGGGTCTTACATTTTTTGCCCAGATCACCCTCAAACTAATGATCCTCCTGCCGCTGCCTCCCATGTAACTTGGATTACGTCATGCCTAGCCCCTAGAATTTTAGTGAATGATTCCACGAATCACTACAAACTATCTATGAGTTGATTACTCATTATTTTTCTCTTTTTTAATATCTGATTTGAGGTTCATAGAAGTTTAGCAATTTTTCTCAGATCACAATGTTTTTCAGCAGTAATCCTGCACTTGAACCCAGATTTGTCTGATGCCAGAACCCAAATGATTAACAAGTGTGATGAATAAGCTCCACCCATCACTGAGCCCAGGAGTCAACTTATGCACATGAGTACCATGATTTTGGAGCCCAGCAGGAATAAATTTCCCTTCACAATTCTTTTTCCAAACTAGATTGTTTTTTTTCTAGTTGAAGAATCTCCTCTTGGATCCTGGAGGATAATATGCAGTACCATTGACAGTCCTCCTAGATATTCAGCCATCAATGAGCCTGGCTGCTGCTTGTCTTCAGAAATGATGCTCTATATCATCATTTGTGGGCTGGTTCGTTTTCAAGAAGGAAAGCACACACTGCTCCAAATGAGTGGCTCCTGAATGGATCATTGGTTCTGAGAAAGAAATTAGCCACCCAGCACTCCTGACCACCTGATTCACATTCTTGCTGAGCACAATCACAAAGTCACTCCACCTCCTACTTGACAAGGCTGTACCTGGGCTTAGAAGAAATGAGCTGAGCGAAGCACTGAACACTGATCCCAGCACATAGGCAAAAACGTCAGTTTACTTTAGCTGTCAGGTGTCAATTCAAAGCAATCAAGTGAGATTTCAGATATTCCACATTAATGTCTCCCACTGTTTTGGGGGTTTTTTTTGGTTTGTTTGTTTGTTTTGTCAGTCATGGAGCTTGTACTCTGGGCCTGGACGCTGTCCCTCAGCTCTTCAGCTCAAGGCTAGTGCTCTACCACGTGAGCCACAGCGCCACTTCCGTTTTTCTGAGTGGTTTGTTGGAGAGAAGAGTCTCATGGACTTTCTTGCCTGGGCTGGCTTTGAACCACAATCCTCAGATCTCAGCCTCCTGAGTAGCTAGGATTACAGTGATGAGCTACCGACACTTGGCTTCCCACTGTAATTTTACAGCTACAAAAACAAAACAAAAAGCAAAAATGAACACATTCTATCAGTGAGTAGTGGACATCTAAGAATTTCAGTTTATAGGTTTCTAAAGTTGATGAGCTTTATAAAATGCATTTTAATCATGAAGTACAAATATTAGCAAAATATGGATACTACCCATATTAAAGGCTCAGATTGTGATTTCTTGGGCTAAGTTTTGATCAGTGTAACTCCACCTGGGAGATATTTCTATCCACGCAGCAACTGTGATTTCATAATCATATCTGTTGTGAGTTGTGGCCAGCACAATGAATAGAACCATGTAATTTTAAATTATAATTCTGAAAACATGGTTTCAAATCCATTGCATATTGGCATTTTAGAAGTTTTCTTGACAACTCCTGGCTCTTCTCTGTTATCTAATAAATGAAGTCCAGGAAGGCTGAAGCTGCTGAGTTGATAGAGCTGTAGTCAGTTCACATTAGAATCCAGATCTTCTGAACTCTAATCTAGCGCTGCTCTTATTCTCCATGACATGTCTTTATATAAACAGCATCAAACACATGTTCAGCATACCTCACCACCTCTCAGTGCAGGATTACATAAGACTTCTCAGGGCTGCAGAAACTCATTTGGATCAGAGTAATGCATCCATGTCTAAAAGGTCAACAAATACTGTATTTTCTCACACTGACAGCTTTGTCCCAGACTCCTCTGTATGTCTTCCCAAGATACATGTTCACATATCCAGAGTTTATACCCTCACAAATGCTATGTGCATATATATCTTTATGTATGTATAGAAAGAGAGGAATTATACATATTTATAAGTGCATACATACATACCTGTGTATGTGTGCATATACATACATATAAGTATGCAATATATATGTGTGAATATGTGTAAATTGCATACATATGGGATATATAAAGAGAGAGAGAGAGAGAGAGAGAGAGAGAGAGAGATGAGCAATGCTTGTTTACTGATCTTCCTGTTCAGGATTCATCTAACATTCCAGTGAGCCACCCCAAAGCTACCCATCTCCACATCTGCACCTTTCACATTTCCATCGAGTATTGGAGCACTTGGAGATTTCATATATGAATGAAACCCAAGGAAGCAAGTCTTTCATATCCTTAAATATCCATCTTCTGGCATTCTTACTTTCTGCTACTTAAGTAATCTTTGGCCTCTTTTTTTTGCTCAGGCACATATACCATTGTTTTTTCTCCAAAATGAGTGTCATATGATATACCACTAATTAGCACCCTCTGAGTCTCCACCGGATATTGTCTCATTTTTAAAAAAATTTAAATGCATATCATTTATTTCATACGATTTAGCATTCATTTTGCTTACTTAGTATGAGAATTAAGCTAGATAATATTTATAAAGAATCTCCAGTTTTGTTTTATATATATACATATATATTAATGATTTACATTTAATGAGGATTCTTTGATTTTTTGGAATAATACATTCACTTTCAGGAATTATAAATCCTGCTGTCGTCATGTTGAAGATATTGATTATCATTCATTGAATGTAACTTTACACGCCCTTTTCTTTCTCTAGACGTCAATTTTCACCCCAGCCTTTGGATCAGAAACAAAGGTCAGGATCAACAGTAGCATGAGAACTGAAGAAGTAATAAAGCAGCTCCTACAAAAATTTAAGGTAATCTTCATCACTAAAGTGAACTATAAGTATCTTTAACGATATTTAACAGTAGCCACATGAATAAGCCCTTCTGAAAAAAGAACTAGGAGCTGATAAATCCAGCTATGCCTGAGACACCACATGGTTCCTGGGGGGGGGTGGGGGGACAAAGAAAATTTCTGTTTCTGCAAGTCAAAGGGGGAAGTGAAGACAGAGGTACGTGATTCGGGCCTGACCAGCATAGAAAACATCATCTGCAAACTAGCAATCATGTTGTTCGTTCTTTCCATTGACAGATTGAGAACAGTCCTCAAGATTTTGCTCTTTACATTATTTTTGCAACAGGAGGTAAGAAAGCTTGATCACTCTGTGTCCCTAAATCCAGTGTGTTCATTTCTGCCCACGAAGAAGACAGAAGATCCATTTACTTCATTCTGTCAAAAAAAAATGTAATTTTTTTTGTTTCTTTGTATGTTTCTCCCCCTCGGGTTAAGATCTGTTTTCACTGTATTTGATACTAGTGCCCTGCATCTTGTATATACACTTCTCTAATTCAGGGAGGGGAAGGGAAAAAACAAAATGCTTAAATGGGGATACAGGCTGACCCACTGTAACAATGAGATGTACAACACACTATGTTGAAAACAAACTTTACAACTTTGGTGGGGGTAGGAGGTTAGGGGTGTAGCTGTAGAGGTGGGAAAGGAGGGATGATGGGGGAAAACAAAGAAAGAGGCAACAATGCTCAATAGGAAATGTACTTATTACCATGTGCAGCATTTTTGCAATAAAAAACGTACAAAACATTTTAAAAAGTAGGAAGGTTAGGAGAAAGGGAAAGTTGGTTTTTGTGGGTTTTTTTAGGGGGAGTTGGGGAGAAGGCTGCTGGGTATCAAAGCCAGAATCTTCCTTCTTATTTCTCTAGGATGCAATTTCTTACGTTGTTGGTTTTCATTTATTTGTAGAGCAGAGACGGCTAAAGAAGACAGATATTCCACTCTTGCAGAGACTCCTACAAGGGCCTTCCAAAAACAATGCTCGTCTTTTCCTCATGGACAAAGATGCAGAAGAAATCAGCAGCGATGTACGGCCAGCTTCACCCTCCATCTGTCTTTGCGTTTCCCCTCATGGCTCAGCCCTTCTCACATCAATGCTCTGCTTTTCTGTTTGTTTTCTCTTCCTCAGGTGGCTCAGTACATTAACTTCCATTTTTCTCTCTTGGAATCCATTCTTCAAAGACTAAAGGAAGAAGAGAAAAGAGAGATTCAAAGGACAATTATGAAGTAAGTCGAGAGTATCTCCTTGCATAAGCAGACCTTTAATAAGTTCAATGTACAAAGCATGTCCAATGTTTAATATTTTTCCCCCTCTTATTTTCAGATTCAATACTGAAAAAGCCATTATACTGAGATGTCTACAAAGTAAACAGATAGTAAAAACAGAGACAACGGTTTAGTAGAGCAAGTCTCTAGGGCTAAAATACTTCAACAGATGCATTTGATGAACTTATCAAGTCTGTACTTGCATTGGAATATGCACTAGCCTTGAATCTAATCTGTAGGAACTGAGTGCTAGAAAAGCTGTGTCTCTCTGAAGTAAGGCGACTACCTAGCGTTCACAGCTGGACTAAAATGAGATTGGTGGACTTTCAGTAACTGAAGTAAGTAAGCTTGGATACTGTGTATTCCAAATGTCTCTTACAGTAAAATATGGGTAGCAAATCTGGTATGTAGCAATCTTGAATTCTGGTCTCATTCAGTTTTAAATTTCCTCTAAAAAGAATTTAAGATAACCAAATATCAACAGACTCATAAATGACTAGAAGGAAAACTTCTAGCTCTGAAATAAATGGGAAGCACATTCTTAAACCATCAAGCATCTTATACAGATGGTGTCTCACACCTCTTTAGACCTATTGGCATTTCCAACATAAAAATTAGAAATATGTTTAAATAGATATATGACTTTTGACTTTTGGTAATGTCTGAGCTACCTGCCCTTAAGGAGGGAAAACATTTTGGACTCTTAAGAAATCCAAATTCTAAAGTTACTGGAGCACACCAGTAACCGTAGATACTTGGGAGGTCAATCTAGACAGTACAGTTCAAAAGACCCCTTCTCCACTGAGAGCTGGGTGTGATAGGATACGTCTATTATTCTAGCTACATGAGGAAGCCTAAAATAGGGAGATCATGGCCAGGCACACAACTAGGTAGAAAGCACTATCCTATCTCAAAAATAACGCAACACCGCCGGGCGCTGGTGGCTCACGCCTTAATCCTAGCTACACAGGAGGCTGAGATCTGAGGATCGCGGTTCAAAGCCAGCCCGGGCAGGAGAGACCGTGAGACTCCTATCTCCAATAAACCACTAGAAAACCGGAAGTGGCGCTGTAGCTCAAGTGGTAGAGCGCTCGCCTTGAGCTGAAGAGCTGAGAGACAGCGCCCAGGCCCAGAGTTCAAGCCCCACGACCGACAAAAAAAAAAAAAATAACGCAACACCAGCACTAGTGACATATGCCTGTAATCCTAGCTGCTCAGGAGGCTGACATCTGAGGATCACGGTTCAAAGCCAGCCCAGGCAGCAAAGTCCCTTAGTCTCTTATCTCCAATTAACCACCAGAAAACTGGAAGTAGTACAATGGCTCAACCTGATAGAGCATTAGCCTTGAGCAAAAAGAACTCAGGGAGAGTGCCTAGGCCCTGAGTTCAATCCCAGGACTGAGAAACAACAACAACAACACACACACACACACAAATGGGCAGAGCCTGGCTCAGTGATAGAGCTGTTGCCTGGCAAGCACCAGACTCTGAATTCAAATTGAGGTACTGCAAAAAAAAACAAAAAAGGAAGAAAGAAAGGTTAGTGGAATTCATTTTCTCTATTTTTGCAAACAAATACAATGCAGAGATTCAATGCACTGCACTGGTTAAAAGCAGACTTGGTCATGGATACTTGTTTGTTGCAGAAGGATTATGGTGGATAGAACAAAGTTATTGTCACCGTGCCAAGCAGGATGTGCGGCCCTGGGTCCTCTCTGCACCCTTGTTGTTCTGCAAGGTATTCCCAAGTCTGTTAAATCCATTTGGACAAAACACTGTGCAATTGTATTTATGAACTCTATACTAAAACGGAGTTTGGTGTAACTTTCTTCCATTCCCTGTGCTGCTTCTATTTGCGTTTTTCTTCAGTTTGTATGAAGTTGTTGGATCACATGACCTGAAAGAAGGAAGGAATAACTGCAGATGTAATAAACCCAGCTAAAAGATTAGCTATCAATATTAAAAACGTGAAACATTTTTAAGATAAAAATCTTACTTCTCCATATCATGAAAAGGTGAACTTTGACCTTTGTAGTCCTCAGAGATCTCTCACTGAGTAAAACACAGACTTGCATCTTTATCCTCCTCCTACTGATGAATAAGAAAATCAGTTCATCTTATTAAAATAAGGCAAGTGTGATCATTAAAGTTCAGAGTACTTATAAAAAATTATAAGGGAGTATCAAATGTCTTCCATAAACATAACAATAGATGAATCTTACTTTGTAAGTGTGTAAGGAATGTACCAAGGCTTCACTGTGAAAAAAAGGAGAGCTGGTGTGCAAAAAATACACATTAGAGAAAATGCACATAATTTCTACGTATATGAAAGAATTGTCTCAGTAGTGGTTAATACCTTGTAACTGGCTTTATTAATTTGTGTTCCATGAGTAATCAGAAACAGTGGAGTAATTTAACGTGAGAAAGCAGTATGTGTTATATTATTAAGTTTTATTAGGACAGCAACAGTGAGATGGAAGTAGAAGCCTCCTAAAGCTAAAGGAGACCCTTAAACGCAAGAAACAAGAAATGAGGGTTTCCGAACTGCAGGGGAAGGTGAATCTGCAGCCCAATGGGTGGCAGTTCTCGGGCTACCCAGGCCACTGTGGTTCCCCATTTGTCAAACATACTCTGGAAAGTGCAAGAGGGAGGCAGGCTTTTCTACAGACGGGCACAAAGCAGAGAGGGATATAACCTTATCTTCATTCAGAGGCTGTTGGACTTGGTGCTGAAGAGGCTTCTTCTGTAAGAGTCTGTGTTTCACGTGGTCTGGGGCACATTCAGAGCTGCACAGGATTAAGGACACGGCACAGGCTTCCCTAGAAGGCCAGCATTCTGTGTGAGTGTGCAGTGAGACGAGAAAGACACGGATAGCAGCGATTTGAGCTAAAGACTGGCAGGTTCTGGGCTCTAAAACCACTGCCCAACTCGAAAGCTGAAGAGGCAAGTGGGAGAGCGAATGCTGGAAAAAGCTGCACCTGGCAGGAGCCTAGCACAGGAGAAACCAATATAGGCAAAGTAGTGGAGGAAAAACAATCCCATCCACCAGGAGCCTGCCTGGCCAACCCATAGGTAGCAGAAGGGAGACATTGACTGCATGGATGGATCTCCAGCACCCTCTACTGGCACCAAATAGCATTGTGCAGACTGCTAAAGAAACAGCAGGCAACAAACACAGTTTAGAGTTGAGACAATAAAAATTGTGTCATGTCAACACAACCAAACGTATATTAGAAATGATTAAAGCAACAAATTACAAGAAGGTACCCTAACAACTGGTAAACACAAATGGATATAATGTTTCTGCAAGATGTTAGTACTAACCTTATTTTATATGATCTTATGAAAACATATTCTGCAGCTATTTATTATACCATTATTTATTGTCACAAAAGAAAGTAAACAGCCTAAAATATTCATATAGAAGTGATTTAAAAATCTACTCACAGAATGATATATTGTTTTTAAAATTATATATGTAAGTTAATTGCAGAACTAAATTATCCTTATATATCTAAATAAAGAATATACGCATATATACTAGAACATAATTTATTGTACATTAGACATATCTGTATTATGTACTTATACATTAACACACACTCACAAACCAAAAAGGAACTTTTCTATCTTCCCTAGAAATACGGAAGGTTCAGACTTTTTAAATATCTCTATATTTAGTAAATGTTATGTAATAATATATGTTGTTTTTAAATCAGGAAATAAAAAGTTGTGATTCAAAATTACCAACAAAAAGTAGCAAGTACATGCAAGAGCAGAATTCTAGATGCAAGGGAAAACAACAACGTCATGGTTCAAATGTTCATTCACATCGCTTCTGTGAGATGTTGAATATATGTCCATAAAAATTTGGTACTTTTCCTTTCAAAATATGGCACTTAATCTCCCTCACCTTTAGATGAGCTAGACTTGAGATTCCTTTTCATTATATTAATTGAAAAGAAAGGATTACATGTTTAGGGGGTTCAGTGTGATCGATGTATACATTGTGGAACAAACAAATCAAGCTAACTAATATGTACCACCTCTCACCCTTATCATTTCTTTATGATGCACATTTAAGTCTATTCCTTTAGCAATTAGTCACCTCTACTAAATAGAAAAGGCAAAAGGGAGAGCAAGTGGATTTGGAGATCAGATCACACAAGTGCCCATGGCTTCCTCCTTGCTGTCTGCTTGGGATCACTTCATTCAGGGGAAGCTAGCCATCAAGGCCTGAGCAGTGCTGAGGAGAGGACTCAACCATGAGGTATTGAGATCTTTTGCAAAAGCTAGCCGGGAACTGCAGCCTCCTGAAAACTGCTACATGAGTGGCCATCTTGGAAGTGAATCATTTAGCCTTGGTCAAGTCTTTCATGGCCCTAATAGCTTGACTGCAGCTTTCAGAAAGATTCTGAACTTCTCCTAAACCTCAGAAAGAGAAGAAACGCTGGCTTTGCTATACTGTGCTATACTGTGTAACTTGTCCCACAGCAGTGGAGAACTAAGAACAATTTCTGAGGGGAAAAAAATGTGTTGACTTTAAAGTTCTTTTTGCATAATACAAGATCACAAACTTTCATCAGAAAAATGTCATCCTTGATTTAAATGGTTTGGATATTTCATTACACTTACACATTGCTTAAAATTAAATTCTAAATAATATGGTTAGTAATGGTAGAAAACCATCACATTCATTTATATATGTCTTGTACTTCATATTATGTCATGTGCATCTGATGTGCTCAATAAAATTAATTGGATTAAGGAATTAATGAGTTAATAAGTGTATAAGAGAATGAGTGAATAGTATACACTTAAAAACAGCACTTATTAAGTGTTAGGCTGAAGTACATACACAAAGAATATGATACAATGTAGGGAGCCCGTATCCATTTGAACCCTCAATCATGTGCAATAAAATGTCAACATTTGATCAACAATGAGCATTATAATCCCCCAAAGAAAATATTTTTTTACAGATGTGAAGATAAGCCATCACAAGGTTAGGAGACTTGCAAAGGTCCTAAATAGAAGAAACAGGTAGGATTTGAACATAGGGCTCCAATATCCATGCTCTTAACACCCCTAGCATGGATTATAGGAAATTGCTTCCAGGACCTTGTCAGACATCAAGACATCCTCTACATGCTGTGTATGCGCATGTGTGGTTGCAGCTTAAACTCAGGGCCTGGGCACTGTCCCTTAGCCTTTTTTGCCCAAGGCTGGCTAGCACTCTACCCCATGAGCGATAGCTATGCTTCTGGATTGTTGTGATTAATTGGAAACAAGAGTCACATAGACTTTCCTGCCCAGGCTAGCTTCTAACTGCAGATCGCTAGATGTCAGCCTCCTGAGTAGCTAGGATTATAGGCATGAGCTACTACTTGTTTTGTTGTACAAAAGAAACTAAAATTTTTAAATCAGTCTAAATTATACGCTCTTTGTTATTTATGGCAGATGTTTTTCTTCCTTCCCTTTTTGCTTTCTTTCCTCCTCCCTCTCTTCCTTCCCTTCATTCTTTTTCCTTCCTTCCTTCCTTCCTTCCTTCCTTCCTTCCTTCCCTCCTTCTTCTTCCTTCCTTCTTTCCTTCCTTCCTTCCTTCCTTTTTTTGTTCTATGGTTACTTGAACTCAGTGCCTATCTCTTCCGTAGCTCTTTCACTCAAGGCTGGTACTTTGCCACTTGAGTCACACTTCTCAGATTTATCAGATTTGTCTTCCCAGACTGTCTTCAAACCATGATACATGATCCTTAGATCCCAGTCTCCTGAGTAGCTAGGATTACAGGTGTGAGCCACTGGCACTTGGCATTGTGGCAGAATTTTCAAAGAAATGACCAAGCATCATTCAATGTTCAAATTAATATGAATATATTAGGCTTCTTTAGTGCCATTGTCAATATGAAAGAGTAAAGTCTGATTACATCGTCACTTTATTATTAAGCATATGCCATTAAGTTCATCAATTACCATTTCAGTAATGGTAAAGAATTCCATGTTCCTGAGTTCTTTTCCACTGTGGAAGTCCAAATGCCAGTCCAGTGAGTTGAGGTGGCCTGTTACAGGATCTGAGGCCAGGAAAGCCCTGTGGATTCATGAAGGCAAGAGCCATGAGAGTGAATTTTCTGAGCATCACACGTAGTTGGCAGAGCAGGGAAGGAGACTTGGTATAGAGGCCTGTGTTTAAATATCATAGTGAGCAGTTGAAAAATTATTTTGTTGCCCATCATTTTCAATATTAAAAATGTGTTTCATTAGTCACGACAAATAAAATGCTGATCTCAGCACATATCCTTTGCTGACATTTTCTGGGATCATTTCACCTTCCAAGAAAGACTAACACTTTTCCATCATTTTTGACCCCTAAGGAAAACAAGAAATGGCAAAAAAAATCTAAACACTGTGAGTTTTTATGTCTGAGATGTCTTTTCTTAAGCTCTTAGACTTTCCTACATGCCTGTCCCTTGGCATGAAGACTCAGTGAAGTTCAACTTCTCCCCCATCTTTAGGATCCAGCATTTGCTTTCTTCTCACAAAAATGGTGGCATTAAATGGCAGGATTAAAAAGTCAGCATCAATTTCTCATTGAATTTTTAAACTCACCTCCATGGATCCCATTACAACTGGTCAGTAATTCAAAAAACCAAACCACAAGCCCTCTATCCCCCCTCACCAAAGAACTGGCAAGGGCCTCTTCTATCAAGTCAAGCAGCATCTCCCAGTGTTCACGTCTACAAGCTTTTACTAAGTAAAAACCACGTGCGGAAGCCTAGACACATAAATAGATGTACATTCTTCTTTTACTGATACGAGAATGGATTCCTAGAACACTACTACTAAAGCAGGCACACACATGTGTGCACGCGCATGCCCAATACACAATGAGGGCACAGTGTACAAAGGCACACTGAGTGATGGCTGATTGGCCTTCCAAAGAGCCCCTGGGATTCCATGGACATTGGTTAGAAGTCTATTGATTTGGTGTTTCCTCACACCTTTGGCAGTACCACAATAAATCATTCAGGCAAATTAAAGTCTCTATTGTGTGTGTGTGTGTGTGTGTGTGTGTGTGTGTGTGTGTGTGTGTGTGTGTGAAGAAATCCTTCTGGAGTTTAAGATAAATTTACTTCGTTGGCAACCTATGACTGTGAAAATCAATTTTCATGGGAAATTGCCCCCTAAGCGTAGCATAAAACACACACATATTTAATTGCGTCCACATTCTCTGAACAAAGCAGCGATGAAAGTCCCCCATAACAATCTTTCCTGATCTCATTTAGTCATAGTTCTTTGGTAAGTTCCTAGTTTTTGTAGTAAAAATCCTGTAAAAAATGTTTCTGCAAAGAAAATATTTCTGGCTAAAGCATAGTAGGAGAAAGAGTACTAAAGAAAAAAAACAATTGAGTAAGGAAAGAAGTGAAATTGTCCAAAAAGAAATGTACTCTTTACATGACTTATGTAACTATTGACTCTGTACATCACCTTTATAATAACAATAAAAAATAAATGTTTTTAAATGTTCTTCTTTGTGGTTCTTGGGATTGAACTATGCCCTGTGCATGATTAGCAAGCTCTTTATTACCCAGTTACACTCTTAATAAAATCTTTTATATAAATGAGCATGGCCCTGAATGAATCAAGAAGAGATATAACTGCCCAGCAGGAGCTAAGTCCATGCAAAACTTCCTTATAAAAAAACATGATTCACATAGAAGGCAGAAGAGAAAGAAGAAATATCTTCCTCACCTCCCCTTTGATTTCCTAGGGTGGTTGAGGAAATGGTAATAAGCCACCCATTCTAAAATTTGGAGAAAATATTACCAGTCCACCCTCCATAGCCTTTGTGACATCATTTTAACCCTTTCTCCATTCTGTATGCTCTCTAAGCATGACAAGTTGATGATATCTTTTTAAATGTTACTTTATTGTTTTTATAAAGGTGGTGTACAGAGGGATTATAATTACGTAAGTCAGATGAACACATTTTCTTTTGTACACTCTTCCCATCCCTCACTCACTCCCAGTCCCTCTTCCCATCTCCAATCATAAATTGCATAGTTCCTTTTCATCAGTGTTCAATGAGCTCCACTGCTGTACTTTTTCACTCTTTTACCCTCAAGTTCTGTGCCCTCCCTCCAGCCCTCCCAAAGATATAGACGCAAATAAACCATACATAATAAAAGAAGACAGAATCATCTCTTGTTTTCATATCTTGGGGTGAGTTTTGATATATATATATATTATTTTATGTAAATATATAGAAGCACATAGGCATTGCAACTTTGTGTTTCTCCCCTAAGAATATCCTTTTTTGGTCTTACTGTGTGTGAGTATCTAGAATCCTGTATAATTTATCATATCCCAGTGTATTTTAGGTCTAATTTCTGCATATCAGAAAAAAACATGTATTGTTTGTCTGAGCTTGGTTTACTCACTTAACATGATTTTCTAGTTCCATTCATTTCCCTGCAAATGACATAATTTTATTTCTTCTAATGGCTATGTAAAATTTCATTGTGTATAGGTACCACATCTTTTGGATCCACTCATCTATTGTAGGACATCTGAGCTGTTTCCATGTCTTGGATATTCTATAGTGTGGATGTGCAAATGTCTTTATGGTTTCCTGATTGTGGTACTCTAGGTAGATGTCCAGGAGTGGTAGAGTTGGGTCATATCCATGTTAGTTGTTTGAGGACCCTCCAGACTGCTGTCCAAAGTGGTTGCACTAGTTTACAATCACACTAACAGTGCGATAGGGTTCCCTTTTCCCCACATCCCCATGAACATTTGTTGTTCAAATTCACAAAGTTGGTCAATCTAACTGGGTTGAGATGGAATCTCAGGGTTGTTTTGATTTGCATTTCTTTTACAGCCAGGGATGATGAGCATTTCCTCATGTGCTCTTCTGACTCAAAAGAAGAGGTAAGAATGGCAAAGAAAACACATGATGATATCCTTTTTTTTTTTTTCAAATTCTTTATTGTGATTAAGTGGTTACATACTTTCCCAAATTTCACAGTATTGTGGGATAGTGATGCTTAGTTAGAGTCACAAACACATTCTAACTTTCATGGAGCAAATTGTCTATCACGGTCTATAACATTTATGAGTTCTATGAGCTTTGCAATACAGTTATTTCTTCCACATTGGGTGATATGTACATTTCTTTTGTTTTGCATAGCATCGGCTGTTCCCTCTTTCCCACTTGTTCCCTCCCTCCCATCGCTGCCATTGAGTTGCTTAGTTCGTTTTGATCAATGTCCAGTGCAGCTGATGGGTGACACTGTTGTATGTTTTTCCCTGATTCCCTCTAGTTCTGTGTCATCCTCCTGGTTTTCCTCCGGTGTGCACATGTATACCATATCTGTGATCAGCAGCATGGGGTTATTTAGTAGTGATTCAACCAGATGAGTGGAAGTCCTTTGTTTCTTAAGCCTTATTAACTTTGTCCTATCACCTTACATTTTGGGTTTAACATCCACTTATCAGGGAGACCATGTGCTGTTTATCTTTTTGCTCTTGGCTTACCTCACTTAACATGATTTCTTCTAGCTCCTTCCATTTCCCTGCAAATGCCATTATTTTGTTCTCTCTAATGGCTGCATAATATTCCATTGTGTATAGATACCACAATTTTTGGATCCATTCATCTGTGGTGGGACATCTGGGTTGTTTCCATATCCTGGCTATTGTGAACAGCGCTGCAATAAACATGGAAGTGCATGTGTCCTTGTATACTGGTTCCTGTTGTTCAGGATAGATGCCTAGAAGTG